CTATCATGTCCCCCCCTCGTCCTTCTCTTCATTAAACTAGACATACCCAATTCCAGCAGCCATTCCTTATATGTTTTAGCCACCCGTCCCCTGATCATCTTTGTTGCTCTTCTCTGCACTCTTTCTAGAGTCTCAACCTCTTTTTTACATCGTGGTGACCGAAACTGGATTTAAATGCAGCCAGGCCGAGCCGAGCCGTAAAGCTGGGTTTTGCAAGCCATGATGCCCCGTGGCCCTAAGCTACCCAACCATGGCTTGTCGGTGCCAACGGAGGCAGGATCTGACTCACTCCGCTTGCGTGTTTTTAACCATGGGCCACTCGCCAAGCAAGGGTCCGTCCAGGCTTGTCAGAGACCAAAAATCCTCAGGAATTTTTCCAGCCGTGAATTCTCAGCTTGGTGGGAAGAGCTGGCATGTTCCAGAAAAGTTGGCATGGCAGATGCTTTGGGAGAAGAACGGGAATGACTGCAGGCAGATCCGGAGCAGGGCGAATCACCCCCCCCCAATTTGGGCCATCTTATCTCCTTCCAGCCTAGGGGAAAAACAACGCCCCCACGCTTAGAGTCTTTTCCAATTTTTATTTTTATTTTTTTTTCCCAATTCCGAGGCGACAGATGGCAAAAGCTGGTTTTTTTTCCCTTGGAGATCGTCTGGATGCAGTGCCTCGCCAAGAAAGCTAGCTGGAGAAGAGGGCTCAAACATCCCCCCCCCCCCAAAAAAAAACAGTTTCTGAGCATGCACAGAGGGCCTTTTGAACTTTTGGCTGGAAATCTCCTGGAGCAGGAAAAAAAACCCTCTCTGTTCTCCAGGTTGTGACATGCCGGGATGTCCCAACACGCAAGGAAAACTGACGGGGCAGGATGAGGAAAGGGTAAAAAAAAAAAACGAGCACCAAAATTTAGAGGCCTTTTTCGCGTGGTTCAGAACTCACGACCGTCGTCGCTTTGGGCTTTTTCTCGCCGTTTCCGAGAAGTTACACGGTTGTTTGTTTGTTTTTTTAAAAAAAATGTTTTCCATCTTGCGGTCGCATTTTTGCGAAGCGCGCACGTTCTGCAGTTTTGCAAGGTGATTTTTTTTAGGCAACCTGACGGAGGTTGGAGAAGGGGAAGGGAGAGAGAGAGAGAATCTTATATGATACTATTTTATTTTTTTATAACCTCAATGCACCATTGCAGATGTCGCCGCACTTCCTTTCATTTGCGCTGCGGCGTTGTCCCTGGCTTTTGCACGCGAGCTAATTAATTGGCGAGCCTTGGGCTCGGCGTGTGTGCCTGTGTGTGTGTGTCAGTGTGTCAGCAGGCCACGTCTCAGGCTGTCACAATTATCAAAGCGGACCCCGATTAGGCCCAGCGGGGAGCAGATCAGAGCTGGCTTGTGACACAGGATCAGCCTAATGGAGGCTCTCGAGAGACACCCAGAATTGGGCAACGGGATTAGCGGCGGTATAGAAGCGGAAAAAAGGGGGGGCGGCGCTCCGGGCTATCTGGACCCCCGCCAGCGAGCGTGCAAAAGCTGGCAGCATCCAGCAGCAGCCCAGCATCCTCTGGAATGGCAGGGCCCATCATCCCCGGCCCATGAGTGGGTTCCCGTGAAATTGCCTTGCAGGGTTGAAGCTGGAACAACAGCCCGTAAAGGAGATTTTTGTGGGCTGGCCTGAGAATTAAAATAGAAGGATGGTGGGGAGGGATGAATAAGATACTATTTTGTGACTGGGGTATCTTTGCTGGCTGTTTTTTTTTTTTTTTTTTTTTTTTAGTTTTTCGGGTTTTTTCCGAGGGAGGGAGGGAGGGAGGGAGGGAGGAAGGAAGGAAGGAAGGAAGGAAGGAAGGAAGGAAAAGTGGATAGGGAGGAGTATTGGGTGAAAAGAAAAGAAAGGAAGAAAAGAGGAAGGAAGGAAGAGTGCAAGAGAAGAAGAAGGAAAGAAAAACAGGAAGGAAGGAAGGAAGGAAGGAAGGAAGGAAGGAAGGAAGGAAGGAAGGAAGGGTGGATAGGAAGGAGGAGTGGATGAGAAGGAGAAGAAAATGAAGGAAGAGTAGATAGGGAGGAGGAATGGGTAAAAAGAAGGACAGAAAGAGGAAGAAAAGATGAAGGAAGGAGGGGTGGATGAGATGGAGAAGGAAAGAAAGGGGTAGGAAGGAAGGAGAGAAGAAAGAGAAAGAAAGAAAAAGAAAGAAAGAAAGAAAGAAAGAGGGAAGGAAGTGCTACCTCAGTAGAGGAAAAAGCAACAGGAGGGTAGAGGAAAACTGCCTACCCCAGGATATATCCTCCAGATTCTATCCCCCCCCCCCATTGCCTGCTTTTTCTCCGGAGCCCACTTGCCTTAATTGCTTTGCCAAGATTGCAATTAGTACCTCTTGACACTCTGAGCATCTTTGGGCTGCTGCTTCTTCAGCAGTCCCTACAGGGAAGGAGGCTGGCGTCCTCCTGAGCCCCAAATCCCACTAGTCCTCTTCGAGGCAACCCTGGGGGCCAGAGAAGCCCTTCCCTCGGTGGGGGGCAAGGCAAAGAGGCCAGGTTTACAAACCTGGGAGGAGAAAAATCGGGTTTCTGAACGTGAAGCCGCTTCGGCAGGTGCTGAGCGATAGCATGGTCCTCGCTTGCTTGCCTCTGAACCGTAGGAACTGCAAAACTTCCACTCCCAGAATTCCCCAGCCAGCATGCTTTAAGAGGGATGGACTTCAACTCCCAGAATCCACCAGGCAGCATGCTTTAAGAGGGGTGGACTTCAACTCCCAGAATCCCCCAGCCAGCATGCTTTAAGAGGGGTGGACTTCAACTCCCAGAATCCCCTGGCCAGCCTGCTTTAAGAGGGGTTGCCAAGGGTCTAAATTTTGATCACATGACCCTGGGACATGCTGCAACGGTCGTTAAGTGTGAAAACCCCGATCCTAAGTCCGTTTTTTTTTCAGCTCCGCTGTAACTTCGTTCACTAAACGAACCGCTGTAAACCTGTACACAAAGGTGCGGCTGTTTGTTGTGTTGCTTTTTTTTCTCTTTTACCTCGCTAGGTACCAAAACAGCTTTAGAGCAGAAGTGTTTGCAATAAAAAGATTGTTTTTTGGGGTGTTTTTCTTTTAAAATTCCATCCGAAAACACGTACCGCGGTAAACAGAAGGAACGGCCACATTGAAACAGCAACGGGGGGTCGCCTGCCAAAAATCCGGCGAAAAATAAAACAAAGTGTTCCTGAATTCACAATGAGGAAGGAAGGAGGGAGGGAAGGAAGGAAGGAAGGAAGAAGAGAACATGGTTGAATCATAGTTTATCAAGCGGGCTTGTCCGAGGCCTTGAGGCTTTTCGACGTGGGTCTTTGGGGAGACCAAAATTAAATCCCCTTAGATCGGTGGGATGCCCAATTCATTTAAATTCTCCATTGAGGAAATCCTCGACTTACGACGGGTTGCTTAGCAACCGTCCAAAGTCACGAGGCCCTCCCCAACCCGGTCACATGACTGAAAATTGGGCACTCGGCTGTGTTTATGGGGGTTTGTGGTGTTTTAAGGCGGGGGGGGTTCCAACCTTGGCAATTTTAAGACTTGTGGACTCCAATTCCCAGAATTCCTCATGGCTCATGGAGTCCACAAGTCTTAAAGTTGCTGAGGTTGACATTGAACAAAGGAACAAAGTTCATCATCAAACATCCCCACAGTCCTTCTGAAGCATGATGCCTGTTCAAACCTGGTGCTGCCCTTAGGTTTCTAGTCCTCAAAACATAGGGATTGGTGTGTGCGGCAGGGCCAGGCGGAAATACTGAAAGCCCCTCGTGGAGAGGAATAAATTGGATTTTTTTTTTGTGCGCTTCCCAAGAATTGTGCCCTGTGCCCAAGTTTTAAAGCAGGGAAGTAAACATTCTGAAATAAATAAACAGCATGGAAAACGGCACCTCGGTAGTCTAAATTGCACACATATCTTTATCGCACATAATTGCAGGCACGGATAGAAATTGCACGTAGGTGCTTATTGCACATGTGTGTGTATATGTGTGTGTGTGTTTGCGCCATAAGCAAATTCAGCAAAGTAAATATGCCGAGGCAAACCTCACGGTCACCAATGTGGGCAGGCGAGAAATCTCGCCCGCTCTTCTGGAAGACGGATCCAGGCCCGGGTGTCATCTGGTGGTGAAGGCTTCGCCAACCTTGTGACTACTTGAAGCAAGAAGACTGGAGACTGCTGTCCAGTCCAATTTAAGGAGCTGTCCATCACTGGGGGGGGGGGACTTGGAGGGACCCCTGGCCGGGAGGAGAATCGCTGATGTCATTTCAAGCAAGGACATTCCGGAGCAAGTTGGGTGTCTATTTGGATAAATGGATTATAAAGTAGTGGAGGGGGGGTTTCATCCCCCCCCAATAAATACACCAGGCTTGGAGGAGGAGTTGTGTAGGTCAGCCTGGCTGAGACGGGATCCTTCTAGAAAAGATAAATAAGGAAATGATAAATTCCTCCCTCTCTTTTCTTTCTTTCTTTCTTTCTTTCTTTCTTTCTTTCTTTCTTTCTTTCTTTCTTTCTTTCTTTCTTTCTTCCTTCCTTCCTTCCTTCCTTCCTTCCTCCCTGCTTCCCTTCCTTCCGTTCCCTCTTCCTTTTCACCCACTCCCCTCCTTCCTTCCTTCCTTCCTCTTTCCTTCCTTCCTTTCTTCATCTCTTTCTTTCCTCCTTTTTGCCCACTCCTCATCTACTTTTTTCCTCCCTCTCTCCCTTCCCCTCTTTCTCCTTCTCATCCACACCTTCCTTCCATTTTTTCTTCTCCATCTCGCCTCCCCCTCCTTCCTTCCCCTCCTCACCCATTCCTTCCATCCTTCCCCCCTTCCTCCTCCCCTCTCCTTTTTCTTTAATTTCTCCTTGCAATCTATCTTTCCAGGATGGGGGGCGGGCAGGGGAGAAACACACTCCGTACATGCACAGATAACCATGTTGAGAAACTCCTTGTAGGAAGCTCCTTCCTCAGCCTAACTCCTCCTGGGTCTTCCCAAGCTAACTTTCTTCTCCTCCTCCTCCTCCTTCAGCTTACGGCGAGAGGGTTACACAGTCCAGGTGAACGTCAACGACTACCTGGACATCTACTGCCCCCATTACAACACCTCGGTGCCCGAGGGGCGCATGGAACAGTACATCCTCTACATGGTGAGCCTGGAGGGGTACCAAGCGTGCGACATCAGCCTAGGCTCCAAACGCTGGGAATGCAACCGGCCTCGCGCCCCACACAGCCCCATCAAGTTCTCGGAGAAGTTCCAACGTTACAGTGCCTTCTCGCTGGGTTATGAATTCCACGCTGGACAGGAATACTACTACATCTGTGAGTTGGGAGCCTTGGTCTCCTTTGCCCTAACTGTTCGTTGGTGGGATGTGTTTTTCCTTTGGGTTGCATTCCAAAAACTTATAAGTACCCTGTTGCATTCCAAAAACTTATAAGTATCCTGTTGTTGATGCCCGGAAGGAAATTTACCTCTCCTTATGAAAAGGTAAAAAGTGTCCAGTCATGTCCAACACTAGGGGGCAGTGCTCTCCTCCCTTTCTTGGCCAAGGGAGCCAGCATTGTCTGTAGAGGTCCCCAACTCCTGGTCCATGGACCAATACTGGGCTGTGGCACACCAGCACAAATAAGCAAAGCCCCATCCGCGAGATGCAGGCAGCACACGAAACCACGCACCCTCCGGTCCGTGGAAAAACCTCTCCCCACAGAACCGGTCCCTGGTGCCCAAAAGGTTGGGGACCTCTGCTGTAGACAATGTCCGTGGTTACGTGGCCAGCAGGACTATATACCAAAGGCATACAGAACGCTGTTTCCTCCCCGTCGAGGTGATACCTATTTATCTACTCGCATTTGCTCTGCTTTCAAACTGGTAGGTGGACAGGAGCTAGAGCAAGGAACGGGAGCTCATCCCGTCGCAAGGTGCTCGGGTCTCAAACCCGGATTCTTGGCTTTTCAGCTGACGAGCCCAGCCTGTTTGATGAATTCGTGCAAAATGGGTTGATCATAGTTTATCGGACATGAAGACTCCACGTTACATCCTAGATTCAGGCACTGTTGTTCCAGACACCCGTTAAGGGGTAACGATGTACTGGGAGATGCGTCTGTCTTGAGCATCCCCAGTGGGAGAAATCAAATGCCAAATTAAAAGGGTTCCCCCCCCCCCAGGACCACAGGGTGATGTCTTGTCTATAACAGTTTGTTGACCATAGAATGATGATTTAATTCAGGATAAGGGGCTTCCTATAGGCTGAATTCAGACAACCCCTCAAAATGCAAAACTAAACTAGGATTTAATTATTTTGCAGTTTAGTTAAGGCTCAGCTAAGCAGGAAAATATGGTTTTGGTCCACTAGAGGGAGCCCTTGACCAAGCCATCTTTAGGCTTCTGAGGCCTAGCGGCTTTTATCCAGTCCTCAACCTCAACCGATATAAATTTGTTATAAAATGAATTTTATTTCTTTTTGTCACAAAAACATTTGCAATTGGGTGGGTGAGGACTTTTTAAGGGGTCCCAAGAGGCTTAGCGCCGACATTTTAGGGTCCGGTTTGATTGGTTCGTTTAAACAACGGCAGCAAGACAGGTCGTAAAAACAAGCACGATTCACTTCAAATACCGCCTTGCTTAGGAGCAGATTTTTTGCTCCTAACGATGGTTGTAAGCCGAGGACTACCTGAAGATGGATCAGTCTGGGCCGTTTGGGTGGATTTCCCAAAAAAAGCAAATAGGTCCAGTTTTAGAGCCGAGGCCAAATTCTGCCCTGTGGCAAATCTATCTCTGTTTCTCTTCCCCACACCCCTGCGAGGTAGGGCAGGCTGTTCACATGGCATTTTTGAATGGCATACAGGCAATCCTCAACTTAGCACCACAACTGAGGCAAAACTTTCCATTGCTAAGGGAGTTTTGTCCCGTTTTACGATCTTTCCTTGCCACCGTGGTTAGGGCAATCCCTGCCGTGGTTTAATTAGGAAGCACAGTTGTTAAGTGAATCTGGATTCCCCATTAGCTGGTCAGACGGTCTCAAAAAAGAGATCCCGTGGTCTCCCGGGACGCTGCAACCGTCATAAATATAAATCGGGGTCCAACTTTTGATCACGTGACCCCGAGGGAGGCTGCAAGGGTTGTAAGTGTGGAAAAAACGGTCCTAAGTCCCTTTTTGCAAAACAGTCACTGAAGGAACAGTCGTAAACCGAGGACGACCTATTTTTAAATGCGCTTTTTTTTCAGCACTGTCAAATGGACAAGCTGTAAGTTGAGGACTGTCTGCCTTGTCATATAAGCTGACAATTCGGGGATCACAGCAACCCACAGGCAGGACGCCTCCAATTCTCTCCTTGCTATTATTATTATTATTTTTTCCCCAGCCACTCCGATGCATAATCACCGCCGGTCCTGCTTGCGAATGAAGGTTTTCGTCTGCTGCCGTTCCCGTGAGTGACCTCCATTTTTCTTCCTCCGTTTTCCCCTTCTGGTGCAAAGACTTTTCCGTATCTGTTTCCACAGAATTCAGCCCGTCCGCCCGTCCACCCGCCCGCCCTTGAGAAATTGCGGGCCGTCCTTTGGGCCTTTCCCAATCCAAGCTGCTAGTCCTCATGAGGGCTGAGATTTCTCCCCTTCTGTTATTACAATGCGGCCTCTGGATCTCAATACCTGCCTGGGGAAAGTCATTTTATCTTTCCCACCTTCCCTTTCAGCTTCCCCGCTAATTGAAATCAAGAGGCAAAATTTACATCACCTGATGCTGAATCACCACGCCTGTAGTCGGGGCCTGGGGCCGGGGGGAGGAGGGGGCTGCCAAGAATTTGGGGGGGCAGTCCTCTCTAGTAACCCACCACCACCCCTGGAAGTAATGCCTTCCCCCCCTCTCCTGCCCACAGCGCCGTTTTCTGGGGACAGAGCAATATCAACTCTTCCGCCGTTCACTATAGGGCCCGAAGTGAAGATTGAGGATCTGGGTGAGTGTCCACCTACCTTTGCCCGGAAAAGTGGGGTGGCGGGCCTGGGGACAGCCCCTCCCCATCCAAAATGTAGCATCCTGCCTCCCTGTGGATTGGGTCTCTTGCTGGAAGAGGCTCAGGATTCTCCCAAATTCTGGAGGTTGTTGATGGGGCTAGGACAGCTCGCCGTGACCAAATCACTACGGCCACCTCCGCCACGGGACAATTCAACACTGTTTTAACAGAATATCAGAGTTGGAGGGACTTGGGAAGTCTTCTAGTTTAGGAGTATCCCCAACCCCTGGTCCGTGGACCGCTAACGGGCCACAACATGCCAGCAACCGGTCCGCACAAACAAACAAAGCCCCATCTGCGGGATGTAGGCAGCACACAAAACCACGCACCCTCCGGTCCGCGGAAAAACCTTTCCACCGAACCAGTCCCTGTTGCCCCAAACGTTGGGGACTTCTAGTCCAACCAGGAGACGTTACACCTGGCTGTGCAGTCTCTTCTTAAAAACCTCCAGCGTCGGAGCAAACACGACTTTCTTCCATGGTTTCGTTCAGTTATTATCGGGGATCCCATTTTGGTTGAGAAATCGCGACTGTCGTAGCTCTGGATCGACTATTCTTATTATTTTGGCCACGGTTCCGTGGGAATTCATTTCACTTTTGTGTTTGTTGAATTGTCCCACGGCGTTCCGGATGCCTGTAGTGAGTTGTCCCCTTCCACTCTAGGGCCGGCGGACCCTCGTCACCGGCGCTCGTTCTCTGTGGCACCCGGTTGAGAAACAGCGTTTTGAGCAGGATTGAAGAGGGCACACCTTACACTTCCACCTCTGGTTTTTTTCCCTCTACCACTTTTTAATCCTCTCTCCCTCTCTCTTCTCTCTCTCCTCCCTCCCCCCTCCCCCAAAATACAGATCATTTTAACCCGGAGATGCCCAAACTGGAGAAAAGCATCAGCGGAACCAGTCCGAAATGGGAACAGTTGCCTTTAGCCCTGGCGGTGGCTTTCTTCCTTATGATTCTCCTGGCCTCCTAGCTGTGTGGATTGTAGGAGAGGAGGGGGCCAGCAGTAGCCCCCTCCCCACACAGGCCCGGTCCCCTCCCCAAGGTTTCCTTGGCTGTTGGTTGGCGGACAGAATGAAACAAGCAAAGTATATTACCACGAAATTCCAGAGGGAGCCACTTGAGACGGCACACGGCTGGGTGGGAAGTGGGGGGGAGGGAGATCACAGAAGAGAACGGTGGGTTTATGTGAGCATCATAACTGCTCCTCTGTCTGGTCGTTCCAGCAAACCGGATATCGTGATTCCCGCTTTGGCGTCCTCTCCGCTTTCCGGTCCACCAACATGCCGAGGAACGGCTCTGCTTTTTAAAGGCAGGCTCCAGAAATTAAAGACACCCCCCTTCCTTGGAAGAAAAAAAAATTGGGGGGTCTGTGTGCGTGTGTCTTCTTTTTTTTCTAAAAAAAAAAAAAAAACGCGGCGATTTTGCATCGCTGCCCTGTATCCCTATCTTGTCAGGTCTGTTCAAGCGGATAAACCCGGCGGACGTATCCACAAGATCATACTCGTGAGGATTGGGGGGGGGGAGTCAGGATACGGACTGATTGTACGCCTGGCTGTTTTGGGGAAAGTTTAGGGGGGCCTGGGGAGAGCCCTGTTTAGAGAGGGGCGCTGCGTCCCACTGAGCTTTTGATGCCCGAGATCGGGGAGGGGGGGGTCCCCGTCGTCTTCCGGTGGGCCTTTTGACCTTGATGGAGACCCGATATTTTGGAGAGGGGACCCTGTACATATCTCTAGTATGTGTTCTGTACAGAGAGGCACCCTTATTACCTGTGTCTATAGATTATATGAAATTGTTCTTGTCGGGGGTCCGCGCGGGACAGGCACCGGCCTGCCTGTTTAAGCCAGAGTCTTTTCTTTGGGGGGGGGAGGGCAGCTCTTCCTGTCTGTCTTCTGTGAAGACTTAAAACTATGCAAGCAGCACAGTCACTTTTTTTTTTCCTTTCAAGGTGGTGGTGGGGGTCCCCGGTGGTAAAAAAAAAAGGCCGGCCAAATCCATGGGGGGGTCAAAAGAAGAAGAAAAAAGAAACCGGGGGAGGGGGTTGAAAAAAAAAGATTTCTCTCTACGTGTACATGCGTCGGTTGGTTTTATTATTATTATTATTATTTTTCTCTCTATCTCTGAACTTTTGGGCTTGGATTTGATTTGGGTTTCTTCCCCCCGAGAACTTTGGCTCGTGGTTTTCATATACTTCCTCTTAGTCTATTAAAAAAAAAATTTAAATAAAAGGCGAAGAAAAAGAGAAGAAAAAAAAACCGACAACAGACTGTCTTCTTTCTTTCTGCCCTCCCCAGTTCCATTTACAGATAATGTGCGCCTTAACGACTATATGTTTAGTGACCAAAGTTGCAACGGCACTTTAGAAAGCGACCTATTATTCTATTCTATTCTATTCTATTCTATTCTATTCTATTCTACATTCTGTTCTACATTCTTTCTATTCTGTTCTTCTATTCTATTCTACATTCTGTTCTACATTCTATTCTATTATTCTATTCTAAATTATGTTCTATATCAGTGGTTCTCAACCTGTGGGTTGGGACCCCATTTGGGGTCGAATGACCATTTCACGGGGGTCGCCAAACAACTCAGTCCGCCATTTTTTTCCCCTTAGCTGTGCTCTATTGGCTTTTGAAAGCCAGTAGAATAGACTCTCTTGAATAGAGTCTAATTCTATTGGCCTTCAAAAGCCAATAGGAATTGTCCAGGCTGTCTCTGCCCTGCTGAGCCCGCCAAAAGTCCCATTCTGCAATCGGTGCTGCACCAGTTGAGTAGTCCTCGACTTACGACCGGTTGAATTGTCCTTGACTTACAACCGGTTGGGGGTCGCAGCATTAAAAAGGTTGAGAACCACTGTTCTATATTCTATTCCATTCCATTCCACCTATCCTATTCTTTCATTATTCTATTCTATTCTTTCATTATTCTATTCTATCTATTCTATTCTATTCTATTCTGCCTGGTTTCACCCAACCTATATGGAGATTTTGGGTTTTTCCTGCCTAAGCGCTTGCGCTAGTTCCCCTCCGCTCCGGATGACAGACGGCTGTGAGGGTGGGAGAGACGACATGGGTGGTGGTGACAGATACGTCTCCACTCAGGTTGTGACCCAGCTGGAAACCGGGGTTCCCGACAAAATTCTCCTAGAAATCAAAACAACACATCACCTTTTTCCCCTGGCTGGCTGGTGATTCACAAGCAGTCTGGACCGGTCTGGGATGGTTCATCCCTAACCTTTTGCACCAAAGCGGGGAGACGGGAAGGGGGGGTGTTTTGCAGCCGCCCACCTGCCTTTGCAAATCTGACATGTCTCCCGGGCGTTTTTGTGTCTGATGCAATTTATATTCCGACTCTGCCTCGTCTCGAAAGGATTCCGGCTTGACTTTGCTAGCCCAGAAGTTCGTAAAAGGGGATCCACGCCACCGTCGTAAAGACGAATCAGTTGCCCAGCGGCTGAATTTTGATCCCGTGACCACGGGGGAATGCTGCAAACGGTCATTAAGTGTGAAAACCGGCGCTACGTTGCTTTTTCCGGTGCCTTGGTAACTTTGAATGGTCACTAAGTGATCTGTCGTTAAGCGAGGACTACCTGGACCGTGTGTTCCACAGGCAGGTAGGCTGCTTTCGTTTAGGGACTGTTCGAAATTAGGACAGCATCTTAAAAAAAACGGACTCGGGACCGTTTATTTTTTTCACTCTTAACGACCGTTGCAGCATCCCCGCGGTCACGAGATCAAAATCAGGGAACTTGGCAAACTGTCATGTACTTAATGACGGTTGCAGCATCCTGGGGGAGGTGTCACGTGATTTCCTCCCTTTTGTGACTTTCCCAGCTGGCAAAAAGCAAAAATGTCAAGCGGAATCCCGGATTCATTTAATGACCACATGATCGATTTAACAACTGGAGTGATTCGCTGGGCGACAAAAGTTTGTAAAAATCAGGCACCACTCCCTTAAGGACCCGCCTCGCTTAGTGACAGAAGGCCCCAATAAGATGCAAGGGAGAAACAAGCCTGGAGCAGAAAAAGTCCTGTTCACCCCCAGGGCGTGGGAAGTGGGGGGGGGGAGAGAGAGAGGAAAGCGGCAATTCCAACCCAAGGCTTGTGTTTCCCCTCTCTTAAAAAAACGGATAATGTTATTAGATTTGGAGAACCAAACGGCTACCCACAGGTGCAAGTTACAACGCGCCCAGGGTTGGCAGAAGCTGGCAAACTGGTTGAACTGGTCTTGAGGATAGATAACCAAGCACAGCTGGCAAAGCAGGGGTGGCGAGGTCTCTTTTCTGCCTCCCCCCTCTCAACAATGCAAGGTTCGGGGTGATCCAGCCACCCCGTTTGCAAACCCCAAAGTGCCCAGTTTGAAGCCTGGATGGAAAAGTCACCTGGTGGCCCAAATAAACCCTGAATTTGGTGTGTGAGGGGGGGAGAGGTTGCCAATAAGAATTTGGGGAGGGGGGAAACAAAACAGGACCCCCATTTCTGCCTCCCCCTCCAGGAATCTTCCAAGAATGGAGGTTTTTAAGAAGAGACTGGACAGCCATTTGTCTGAAATGGTGTAGAGTTTCCTGCCTGAGCAGGGGGTTGGACTAGATGACCTCCAAGATCCCTTCCTATTATTATTACTATTGCTATTATTATTCTTCTCCATCCCGGGTGCATTCCTGTCACACCACACAGGTTAAAAAAGGGTGATCCCCCCACTTGTGTTTCAGCCCACTTGCCTGAACTGGCAGGGCCAACAATTGTTGGCCTGGAAGTGCGCCCCAGGGTCATCTAGTCCAACCCCGTCTCCCTTCAGCTGTTCTAAGAGCTACTTTGGATGCAGTTGATGGCCAGAATAGACGATCTGGGCTGTGAACTCGGCAGCTTTAGCCAAACACAGATAGTCCTCACCTTACAACTGTTCACGCCCCTCACAGCCTCCCCCACGGTTGCGTGATCAAAATTCAGACACTTGGCAACCAACTCATATTTATGACGGTCGTGGTGCTCCGGGGCCACGCGATCCCCTTTTGCAACCTTTGCTTAATCATGGTGGCAAGAGAGGTCATAACAATGAGGCAAAACCCACTTAACAACTGCTTAACCACCTAATTTGGGGGGCTCAAACAGAATTCTTTATTGGCCGGGTGTGATTGGACCCACAAGGGATTTGTCTCTGGTTCTTAAGCTCTCAGTGTACCTACCTAAATGTGCCATAACTCGAGGGACGACTTGTAAAAGAAGGAATAAACAGATTAATTTGAAAAAGGGTTGGGTCTGCAGCAAAGCAGTCCTCCCTTCCAGACACCCCCACCCCCGAGAGGAAAAAGGCACTCTGCACATACTCAGGAGCTTCCCTCCTCATCCATAGTCCTCTTGAAACTGGCTTGAGTCCACGCCAGTCTGTTGCACCCTTTGATCGGACGTGCGCACTTAACCGTTGAACCTGGAAATCAATACATCATGCGCTGTTTTCTCCGGCTGAGCTCACCTGCACCTTGTTGTAAAGCAGTACAAAGGGTGTAAGCCGAGCGTGCTAACTCGACACGTTGCGTGAGACTGTTTACAAGAGGGTGCCCAGGTGCCAACCTCACCTTTGCCTCTCTTTGCCAGGGGTCAAGCTTGACGTAATCCTCCTGGATTTTCCGCCATTTTCCAGGCCGGGCCTATTTCTTCCTTCTTATACGGGCAGTCCTCGGTTTACGTCCACCACCAGGACCAGAATTTCCGTTGCTAAGCAAGGCGGTTGTTCAACGAGCGGCACCGGTTTTATGAACAAGATTATGGGGTTGTAAGCTGGCTGGGATGGTCACAAATGATGATCAGCGATGCTGCAGCTATCATGAACACATGCCGGTTGCCAAATGTGGCCGAACTGGAATTCTGTCACCGTCATAAATGCGAGGACTGTTGTAAGTTACTTTTTTTTTTTAATGCTGTTGTAACTTTGAACAGTTCTTAAACGGGCGTAAGCGAAGGACTCTCTATTCCCAACCTGAAGAGTGCAAAGTAGCTTGCGCAAGATGGCTTAAACCTGGTTTCTTTCTCCTGTAAAATCGTATCTATGCCTCATTTCAATTAATTAACGGGTAAATAAGAGGATAGATATCATTCATTAATTAAGATTTCTTTTTCTCTGTTTTTGTTTTTTTGCTCAGCTGCCCAGGATGTTTATTCTGACAATAATCCTATGAGGTAGGCCAGGCTACTGTGCAGCTGCTCTATACCTAATGAATTTGAACTCAGATCTTTGGGATTGTCTATCCATATATTGACCTGTGCGGTGACTTTAAAAACACTTTAAAGCCCCAGCTTCTTTCTCCAGTTGTCTCGTGCAGCTGTCAAGCTTAATTTCTTGATGCGGTTTGAATTTTACATCGGCTGGCGATCACCCCTTGGTGCCTTTTCCTCTGCTGCTGAGAAAAAGAGGCGAACTTTCTAGAGGGCTTCCAAAAGGAACCTTTCTTTTTTTTTAAAAAAAAAGGGGGGAATTAGCGTGTTTTTTTAAAGCCCACACACACACCACGGAGCACTTGCTTTCTAACAAATGCACACACACACACACTTCACAGAAGAAGAAGAAAAGAATAAAATTGGAAAGGAAAAAAAAAAGAGCTTTTCCTTTTTTTTAATTCCTGGTTAATTATCACATCGGCCACGTGGTTTATTTTTTTTCCCCTTTCCCTCTCCATGCGGGACGTGTCAAAAATCCTGAGACTTGTAACCTGAGTCATAAATTTTCTTATTGCTAGTTGTGTGTGTGTGTGTGTGTGTGTGTGTGTGTTTAACACAAGGTCACAAGTAGGATTTCAACATGGGGGGAGGAAGTTGACATGCCGCTTTCTGCTCGCTTTGGAGAAGGAAGGAAGGAAGGAAGGAAGGAAGGAAGGAAGGAAGGAAGGAAGGAAGGAAGGAAGGAAGGAAGGAAAGAGAAGGGAAGGAAGAGAGGGAGGGAAGGAAAGAAAGAAGGGAAGGAAGGGGAGGGAGGGAAGGAAAGGAAGGAAAAGTGAGAGGAAGGAAGGAAGGAAAGAGAATTAGAGGGGGAGGGAAGGAAGGATTGAAAGAAAGTGGAGGAGAGGAAGGAAGGAAGGATAAGAACGATTCTAGTCCTCATTGTTCAAAAGACTGAAGACAATAGCAAAGGAAATAGTAATAGCCCTTCGACTTACATACCGCTTCCCAGTGCTTTACAGCCCTCTCTAAGCAGTTTACAGAGTCAGCATATAGCCCCCCCCCCGACCACCTGGGTCCCTTAAGAACCGTCTCACTTAGCAACGTAAATGTTGGGCCCCATCGTGGCCGTCAGTCAAGGACCACCTGTAAAATGGCATTTCCCCCCAGCCTTGCAGCTTCCCACACGGGAGGGGGTTCCTTGTGAAAAGGGGCAAAGAAACAACCTTGAAACTTTTATCCCTGGCTCTGTTCTCACCTTCTGCACAACACCGAGTGTGTTGGCCTTTCTTGATAACAAGCCACAAACAAGAGGTCACCAAGGCCTTTAAACTGGCATAACACAAAGCAGATTGTTTGTTTGCAGCCGGGTAAATCTTTGCCCAGAAGTAGCTGGGGGGGGGGACAAAGAACCCATCAATGGGGTCTAAGTCTATTTCAGGTTATTTTTGAAGGAGAGTTCCTGTTTGGGGGGGGGAGGGACGGATCCTCTCCCTGTTTCTTGCGGAATAACCACGATGGGGGTCGGGTTTCCCGTAGGTTTCGCTGCCGACCAAGGTTTAAGCTTGCAACAGATTGTTTAAACTGGGATTAAAGCGAAGGAGATGAAAAGGATGGAGAGGAGGGGGAGGAGGAGGAGGAGGGGACAGTGAATAATATGGGGACCCCGAGAGACTTACTTCGGAAGCCCGTTCAGAAAAGGCAGGATTTGGGATCCAGCTTTTGGGAAAGGGCAAATTCTCTAATAAAAAGAGCCTTCGGGAAAGAGTTGTGTAGTAACTGGGGGAGAAAATGCCAATATTATTACAAGCAGAGTCCCTGACTTAAATTCCATAATCCTGTCTTGATTTGACTATCCCAGTTAAGGCCTGAAAGGCTGAGAAAAAGCTAGCTTTCCTTCCTTCCTTCCTTCCTTCCTTCCTTCCTTCCTTCCTTCCTTCCTTCCTTCCTTCCCTTTCCTTCCTTTCTTTCCTTCCTTCCTTCCTTCCTTCCTTCCTTGTCGTCCAATTCTCCTTCCTTCAATTCTCCCTTCCTATTTTCCTTCCCTTCTTCCTCCCTTCCTTTCTTCCTTGCTTCTTTCTCCTCCAATTTTCCTTCCTCCCTCCCTCTTTTCCTTCCTTCCTTCCTTTTTACTTTTTCCTTCCTTTCTTCTTTCTTTCTTTCATTTTTTATTTTCTTCTCTTTCACCCCTTCCTTCCTTCTCTTTTTTCCTTTCCTTCCCTCCTCTCCCTTCCTCTCCCCTTCCACCCACCCATCCTTCCTTTCCTTTTTTCTTTCTTTCCTTCTTTATTCTCTCTCTCTCTCTTCCCCCCCTTCCCTTTCACACTGACCTCACCCTTCCAAAACCCTGTTGTTTTTCTTCTTACATAGCCCCCCATTCTCAAAACTCACCAAAGGGGGGGGAGGATCCATGTAGGCCAGGAGTTAATTCTCCAACCCTTTGGGGGGGCATCCCGAGGCAAACTGCCCCCCCAGTCCCAACGCAACACCTGGCTTGCTTGCCCTGTTGATGTTTTGCTGTAGAGCTAGTTTGAAATCTCCCCACAAATTACGGGGGGCAGAAATGAGACACGGATGGAGGCAGGTTCACGCATGTTGAGCCGTGTTCTCCCGAGTGCATGTAGTTACCTGTCTCGGCACACGAATTTCTCTGCAAGGGAGAAACACAAAACGGGTGTCGCTTTTTGTGTAAACAGCCCTCCTGTCTCAAGCCAGGCCTCCGTCCGCTCCATAAAATATTAAGAGCTGCTGCTTTTCAATCTTTTAATCCCCAATCCTCGATTTACGACACTTCTATTTAGCAACTCTTTTACAATGGCACTTAAAAAGGAGGGGGTTGGACTAGATGACCTCCAAGGTCCCTTCCAACTTTATTATTATTATTATTGTTGTTGTTGTTGTTATTATTATTATTTGACCAGGGCAGTTTTATTCTCTGTTTCCTAAAAGACTCATCTTCGTTTGCTGCCCAAATCCGCAGTGTGCCACATAAGAACGTGGCCCATGGATCATTCCTTATGGATTTTCCTATTGTGTCGTTCGTGCTTAGTCCCGGACTTGCGTGCCAAAGTTCAGCAGCCATCCTTAGTCCCTTAATGTGACATATATATACCTAATTATGCACAGCTAATTAGTGATCTTTTACAAAACTCTAACCTCCACGAATTTTTTAAAACCCCGGCTTTATTTTTTTTTCCCACTGGCATTAAATTCTTTATTCTTTTTTTTTTCCTTCTTCTTCTTCTCCTTTTCTCTCTTGTGTAGCTTATCTGGCTCCTTCCAAGTGTTCAATTAAAAAGAATATATTAAAAAGGCAGAGGACAATTGAGGATGCCTGATGGACTAATTTTGAAAACGATCACCGAGTTCACTTCTGGCATAATTAATTCCAGACTTGACCTCTCTAAAATTCTGGGCCTGTTTGATTCTTTAATTTAAGTTTTATGATTTCTATTTTGCCCGGTTTTGTTATTTATATTGGCTGTTATTGTTTATATTTACTTTTGTTACTGACATTTTATTTGATTACAGCCCAGTCCTCAACTTACAACCATAATAATAATATTCTATTCTATTCTATTCTATTCTATTCTATTCTATTCTATTCTATTCTATTCTATTCTATTCTATTCTGTATTTCTATTCTGTCCTATCCTATCCTATCCTATCCTATCCTATCCTATCCTATCCTATCCTATCCTATCCTACTAAGTGAACTATTATAGGACTATCTGTACTTATATTTTATTTCAGTTTATTTCACTTTATTCTGTTTATTATCTTAGCCTGCTTTCAAATGATTCCGAAGGGTTACAGGGCAAGGATTCCTTCTAGTTTTTCTCTTTATTATTATTTTATTTGTTTGAGAGGTGTGTTAGGAGCTGGCCAATTGTTTTCTTGTCTGCCTTTCTATAAACATCTCCAAATGGCTTCTGTTTGCAGGCTGTTCTTATCAGCCAGAAAGTTTGTATGTCTTTGTGGAATTTGTGGCTAGAAAGCGATACATTTGTGCTATCCTTTTTTTTTTCATTGTTGTTTTGTTTAGAAAACTCTCCCTTTATTATTTTTTCTTTTATCTTTCTGGAGGAGAGACTCTAGACCGCTCACAATCACCAAAGGCAACAAGGTAAAAGGTGAAAAAAATAATAATAAATGGCTCTGCACTCTTTTCTTAAAAGCCTCCAGCGATGGAGCACCCACAGCTTCCGAAGGAGGTGGGCAATCCTGCCACTGGGTCTGCCTTTTTGACTTGGGAAGGGGCACCCAGAGGTCTTCTAATCCAACCCCCTGCTATCCTATCCCATTTCAGACAAATGGCTGTGCAACCTCTTCTTAAAAGCCTCCAGTGGTGGAGCATCCACAACTTCTGAAAGAGGGCGGGGGGGAGGCGTTCCTGCCGCTGGGTCTGCCTTTTCCACTTGGGGGCACCCAGAGATCCTCTAGTCTAGCCCCAACCCTCCGCTCCTGGAAAGATGCATTGGGAGGGAAAGGGAGGGGGAGGGGGCTGACTTGTTTGGCAACTGCTGTCTAGGTCCACCGAGACGGGGTGGGGGGGGAGAGCTGAGGGTCTGGCGCTCGCCCAAGGCAAGGCGTGAAGCCGCGGCGGCCGCTTGGGGTCAGCCGGCGCTCTTCCCCCTCTCTCGTTCTCGGCTGCCTCCCGCCTCTCTTCCCGGCCCAGCAGGGGCGGCACCTCCGCCCAGTACTTAAACCGCGGCTGGGGCTGCTTGCTCGGCTTAGGAGAGGCAGCCAGCGCGGCACGGAGCGAAAGGTGAAGCGCTCCAGGGCGAGCTGGTACGCGCCGTCGGAGAAGGCGAAAAGAAAGAAGGAAAGAAAGTAGGAAAGAAGGAAGCAAGCAAGCAAAGAAAGGAAAGGAAAGAAGGCAGCAAAGAAAGGAAAGGAAAGAAGGCAGCAAAGAAAGGAAAGAAGCAAACAAGCAAAGAAAGAAAAGCAAGCAAGCAAAGAAAGAAGGAAAGAGGCAAAGAAGGAAAGGAAAAGAAAGGAAAGGAAAAGAAAAGGAGGGTCGAGACTGCGGGCCGATGGGTCTCCCGTTCTGGACCCCCCTGCTCGGTCTCTGGTGCACCCTGTGCCTGGCGTCTGGACAGAGGCACACGGTCTTCTGGAACAGCACCAACCCCAAGTGAGTTCGCGTCTCGGGGCGCTGGGAAAGAGGAGGGGGGGGCGCAGGGCAGGCAGCCTCTCGGCTCGGAAGAACAGACCCCCCCCCCACGCCTTCCAAGCCGTCGATTTGGGCCGGGTCAAGCCTGGCCCAGGGCTAGGCGCCCTCCAGGCGGGCTCTTGCGCGGATGGAGACGCGCGCGGGGGGGGGAGACCCCCTTCTCTCTCTCTCCCCCTTCCCGATGGGGGAAATGGTGGGGTCTCCGGTTTCAGCGGAGGCCCCCTCTGACTGGCCCGCGCGGCCACCCACCCAGCTGGCTTCCAGACCCCCCATCCCATCCCCCCCGCCCCCGCCCCACAAAGAGGGATTTGGATGGCTGGCAAATGAGCTTCGCTGCGTTTGGTTTCCTGAAGCGAGCCCACCTCCTCAATTAGACAGAGCGGAGCGGGTAAGGGAGCCGGGCCAGCCTTTGGAGCTGGAAAAAGAGGAGTCTTCCCCCCCTCCAAGGTCACGACCCGACCCCCATCCCTACCCACCCACCCGGGGCCCACTTCCAGCGTCAAACACGTCCAAATCTGTGCGTTTCCTCTCCTTGTTTTCTCCCAAACACCCCAAGTGGCACCCCCCCAAACCGGGCCCTTTAAATCTGGGGGCCGGCTCCAAACCTTGCCAGCCGTGTCCGCGTGCAAAAGGCCACGTTCGCACAACCCCCTTTCCTTCTCTCTGCTGATCTTCCCCCACCCCCACCCCAACCCACCACCACCCCTGCGCCTTTCTCTCTGTCTCTCTCTCTCTCTCTCTGCTCTCTCTCTCTGCTCTCTAGCATTTTTGCTGCTGAGAGCTAGACCCCCACCAAACCTTGATTGATAGCTGAGTCTCCCTCCTGAGCAGGAGAAGCCAACTTCGTTGGGGAGGGGGGGAAAGACTCAGAGAAAGGGGTCTGTTACGCGCCCCCCCCTCCCACCCGTCTCCGCCTTGGCAGGAGGGGATGGAAGTGGAGAGAGCTGAGAATTTGTAAACATCCAGTGTGTAGGCCTTTCTTGGCAGCCAGCCCGTACCTGGGCATAGCCACAAGGGCGTGAATCAGGAGGAGGGGGGGAGGGGGAGGAGATAGCCTTGCTAGGAAAGAGGGGGCAGTGCCAGTTGTAACTATTATTATTATTATTATTAGTTATTAACGAAGGAGAATATTTGTAGCAGGGTTGAAAGGAGTCCTTGGTGCTCTTTGAGCTACTCCTTCTCTTTCTTTCTCTCTCTCCCTCTCTCTCTCCCTCTCCTTCTCCTCCTCTTTCTTTTTCTCCATCTCCTCTTTCTCCTTCTTCTCCTCTTTCTCCCTCTCCCCCTTTCTCTTTCTCCATCTCCTCTTTCTCCTTCTCCCTCTCTTTCTCCCTCTCCTTCTTTCTTCTCCTTCTCTTTTTCCTTCTCTTTTTTTCTCCTTCTTCCTCTCCTCCTTCTTCTCCTCTTTCTCTTTCTCCTTCTCCCTTTCCTTCTCTCTCTTCCTCTCCTTCTTCTTCCTATTAATTATTATTATTATTAAATTTAGGGTAGAATAGTTAGGGTAAAGAAAACAAGCAAGCTCAGAGAGCACCAAAGACGACATCATCATCATCATTATTATTATCCGCCTATCTTGCCACGGAGCGCTTCTAGTATCAGCTACCTCTCGCTGCGCCTCCTCGCAGATCCTAGCAAAATTACCTCAAAAATTACCCTTAAAACATCCTCTTTAAGCCAGGCTAAGGTGATCAGAGACTGCCTTTCTAACCAGCTCCGCCCAAGGGTTTTGTTTTGAACGTGGCTTGCCAGTCCGGAACGACTTTCAAGTGGCGGGGAGTTCCAACGGCTATCTTTCTCCTCCCCGGGGGTAATTCTCTGGGCCTGAGTCTCGCCACTTCGGCGACGGTCTGCGAATCTGCCTTGAAGCAAGGCTGGGTGCTCCTGCTCTGAGGGGGGGGGGGACAAAATGAGAGTTTGGACTGGGTTTAAAAGTTGGGGTGTAAGGACCATGGGGATGGGGCTTGGCGGGGGGGGGGGAATCGAGGCAGAAGGAAGAAAGAGAGGATCTTGTGGCCCTGTGGGGGGGGAGGTTTTCTCGTTTCCAGACTGATCTTGGGGTGATGCACCTGGAGTTTGCAGGGGTGTGCGTGCGCCCGCAGGGATGTGCCTCTGAGCATAAGACGAGGGCCAGGTTTCCCTCCTGAATTTTTAGAGAGGGTGGATCGTTTGGGGATGCCTCTGGCGCCCGCGGGGTTAATCTCATCTGGAGGATTGTTTTGCACAGATTGTCTGGCTTTGCAGAGGGGGCAGCTGCATCCTGTTGTGAAAGCCTCCAGGCTGGGGGCTCTCCAGGTGGTCTTCTTTCCCTCCCCCCCTCCCCACCTTGTGCCCCTCCCCATTCCCTGATCATGTTTTGCAACCAGCCAGAACCAACCTGATTATTATTATTATTATTTTAGTTTTTTCCCCCTCCCCATTTCTTCCTTCTTTCCCTGGGGCTGAAATTCTAAGCAGGCTGTCCAGATGTCAGGGACTACACCTCCCCTGCTCCTTTGCCACAGGCCCATGGAGCGGAGATTGAGGGAAGAGAGGAAAGTGAAGGGGTTGGGTTATTTATTTATCTCTCCAATTTATTTGCCACTCATCATTTGGGCAACACTGGAATAATCAAGGAGCTACCGGTTCTAAATCCTCCTCGGCTCCAGAAACGGACTTGGCGATTTGGAACCAGCCTACCTCTAAGGGTTGTTGTGAGGGGGGATGCGGTAGAGGGAACATTTAATAGAAGAACAGACTTGGAAGGGACCTTGGAGGTCTTCTAGTCCAACCCGCTGCTCAGGCTATCCCGTTTCAGACTAGTGGCTGTCCAGTCTCTCCTTAAAAACCACCAGCGATGGAGCAGCCACAACTTCTGGTGGCAAGCAGTTCCACTGGTTGATTGTCCTCACTGTTAGGAAATTTCTCCTTCATTCCAGGTTTGCATCTCTCCTTGATTAGTTTCCGTCCTTTGCTTCTTGTCCTGCCTGCAAGTGCTTTGGAGAAGAGGTGGAACCCCCCCCCCTGTTATTCCAGCTCTGTTATTCTGTATTCTGAGCAGGGGGTTGGACTAGAGGACCTTGGAGGCCCTGTGATTCTCTTGCTCTCAGGATGCGGCTTCTTCTGCTCCGAGAATTAAGCGTGGGAGAAAATTAACTCTGAGATGTGACTGCAGAGAGGGAGCCTCCACTCGCAAGAGCAGTCTACCTTTTTGTCAGGGGTCAGACAATCCCCCTCCCCCAAAAGCTCGCTCTAGAAGCCCCTCACTCTGAGAACAATGTTGACTCTTCCCCCCCCCTCCCAAATCTTGCAAGCCCCCTCGAAAAAAAGGACCTGTACTCTGCATGTGCTCAGAAGCCCTCTTGCTTTTTCTGTGTCTCACCTTTGGAAAGACACCTCCCCCTCAGGGCAAAAATGAGGAGGGTCTCTCGCCTTTGTAGAGGGATTGCACTATCAGGTCATCCCCTCCTTTTTTTTTTCTTTTAAAGGGTGGACTTTTGATCAACATTGCAGAAGTTCAACCAGGTGGAAAATCTTTGGCAAGACCAGGCGGGGGGGGGGGAGTTAGTAGGGGGAGAAGCCCAGGCTGGTCAGCCAAGTCTTCTTTTCCCAGGGCAGGCGCCCTGCTGGCCTCGGGCCTCTTCCTTCCCGCCAGCCCTGGACAGCGGCCAAGGGACGGCGCCAGGGTTATCCGGGGCAGGAAGCCTGACTGTTTTTCGGGGACAAACATCTTGCAAAGTTTGAGACAGAAGAGTTGTTTTGTCAAAGCGCCTGCCGATGACAACTCTGGGGGAAAACACAGAGGGAGGGGCTGTGTTTTTTTAGGATTGGCAGTGGGGGGGGGGGGAAGAGAAAACAACCAAGGTGGTTATTGTGGGCGATTCGAATCTGGCCCCAGGCGAGGCCAAGCAAGATGTGGGGAGACATTCAACTCTGAGATTGAGTTTCTTTTTGTTTGCAGCCAGTCGTGGGATCCCGGTTTAATTTCCAGAGCCCACCATCGTCGTATTTCAGGGCAGCCCTCCCCCCCCCTAATTTCAGACCTGGGGTGATGGGCACCCCTCTTGCCCACTTCATTCCTGCACCCCCCTCTTTCCTGACCCTCCCTCCCCACCAAAAAATTGCCATCTCAAGTTCAACCCGCCTTCCTTTCTTCATGCCAAGAACACTTTTTCCAGATGTTTGGAACAAAAGAAGCCAGGGGAACATCTGAAGAACATCTGGAGGGCGCCCCATTGCTTGTCCGGGACTGGGGATCATTTATTTTTTTCATGGGTGGTTCAGGCAACACACACACACACACACACACACACACACATCTTCCAGCTCAGCTAAAAATTCTCTCTTTTTGCTGCATTGCTTTTCGGCCTCTCCAAAGTTCCTTGTGTGTTCCCCGTCCAACTTAGCCAGATGTGTTACAGGGGGGTTGCCCACCTTCCTGGGTGATCTTTGCAAACGGGTCAGATCCTGGGTGGTGTGAAATCCCCCCCCCAGGGCAGGGAGGGAGGCAGGCTGGGTGGGTGGGAAGGGAGAACCCTCTCAACCCATCTGTATCTCTCTTTCTCTCTCTCTCTCTCTCTCTCCCCCCCCCTTTGGAGGCAAGGATGCTAAAAGTTGGTTTATTGCTCCACCAAGGATCTGCCGCCCTGGCGGTGTTGTCAAACCGGTTTGGGAGAAGCCTTAGTTTGTTCCTCCATTCCCAGATGTGTGTGGGGAAGCGGATAAACCTTTAATAACTAATTTCACCCTTTGGAATGTGGTTTCTCCAGAGACCGTGATAGGCTCACTTACGGTAGTAATAGTAGTAAAGTTGGAAGGGACCTTGGAGGTCATCTAGTCCAACCCCCTGCTCAGGCAGGAAACCCTACACCATTTCGGACAAATGGCTGTCCAGTCTCTTCTTAAAAACTTCCAGTGTTGGAGCATTTAAAAAAAATGACAATAAAAGGTTATCTTATCTTATTCACAATTTCTGGAGGCAGGTTGTTCCACCGGTTAATTGTTCTAATCTTCTGACCTTGTTTAATGACCGTTTATAACGGCACTGAAAAAGCAATTTAGGGCTGTTTTCCACACTTACGACCGTTCCAGCTTCCCCATGGTTCACGTCATCAAAATTCAGACCTTTGGCCACTGACTCGTATTTACGACAGTTGTGGGGTCCCGGGGTCCTTAAATAAGCTTAGCGTCCCAGCTAGCCCAGGAAACTCACTTTGGCTGGGGCTGATAGGAACTGGAGTTATTTCATAAAGTTTGGAAGGCCTTTGTTGATTGTGGTGTGATGGTTAGCTTCAGCAATTCCAAGACACGCTCGGTTAAAAGAAAAAAAGTATTTAATTTCCATTTATTGGATTTGCAAAGGCGCCCGATTGAAAACAACACGATTAAAAAGAGATTTAAAAAACCAGCAAGGAAGAGGAGATGGTAAAGCCAATTAATGTATTTAAATAGCCAAACAAATTTCCAGGGAATTGAAGATATGCCTAGCAAATCTGGGGGGAAAAACACCCCCGCTGAACGGAGAATAAAACTGGATTTGAAATAATCCAACCTCAGGAAGAATACCATATGGTTTAATTGTTAAATTGATTGACAGGCCTCCTCTTTGTTATTTAGCTAATGGTGGCCCTTAAGATGCTCTTGGTCAGCCTGTATAGAAATAATCCTTGATTTATGGCTACATTTAAGCCAGGCAGTTGTTATCACACTTAATTCCACCGCTCTCTCTCTCTTTTTTTGTTTTTTGTTTTGCTATCCTTATTTTGCAAATCACCGCAGTCATTAAATGAATCACAAGGTCGTTAAGCAAATCTATCTTTTCTATCTTGACTCTAGATTTCCTAAAAGCAATCCATTCTTTGCAGGGTCTACCTTGCAGGGTTCTTGGTAAGGAGGATTAAGAAGACACCGAACGAAGTTTGAAAAAGTCTGGAAGTTTTTAAGCCTTCTTTTTATATCGGTTTCAGGTTTCAGAGGGAGGATTACACCGTCGAGGTGCGTCTGAACGAATATTTGGATATAATCTGTCCGCACTACGAGGATAACAGCGTCCCCGTCCATTCTATGGAGCGCTACACCTTATACCTGGTCGAACGAGAGGAGTACGACACGTGCAAACCACGGTCTAAGGATCAGGTCCGCTGGCAATGCAACCGGCCAGATGCCCTGCACGGTCCGGAGCGGCTTTCTGAGAAATTCCAGCGTTTCACGCCGTTCACCCTTGGCAAAGAATTCAGGGAAGGCCATGAATATTATTACATCTGTAAGTCTGCTTTTCGTAGGCTCAAGCTGGTTTATATTGGCGGCAGAAAAATGAGGCGCAGTAAATTTAAAAGATAAAATACAAGATTAAAGGGTTAAACTCATATGCTAGGATGGGGTTTTTGCGATTTCTCGTTTAGCCATGACACTATTTTAATTTTTTTTTTTTTTTAGATATTATCAAAGGTGAGCCTAGCATCTCTCCGGCAGCAAAAAAAATAAATAAAAAAAATAGAAATCTGATTTTTCTAGCATAGCCTCTTCTCGATTTACAATGGTTCAGTTGAGCCCAGTTTCTGCTGCTAAGTGAGACAGTTCTTAAGTGAGTTTTGCCCTAACAGAATAGCAGAGTTGGGAGGGACCTTGGAGGTCATCTAGTCCAACCCCCTGCTCAGGCAGGAAAGCCTAGACCATTTCAGATAAATGGCTGTCCAATCTCTTCTTAAAAACCTTCAGGGGTGAGGAATGAATGAATGAATGAATGAATGAAGGAAGGAAGGAAGGAAGGAAGGAAGGAAGGAAGGAAAAAAAAAAGAATAACAGAATCAGAGAGGGACCTTGGAGGTCTTCTAGTCCAGCCCCCGGCTCAAGTAGGAGACTATGCCATTTTACACAAATGCTTGTCCAACCTCTTCTTAAAAACCACCAGTGATAAGGAAAGGAAGGAAGGAAGGAAGGAAGGAAGGAAGGAAGGAAGGAAGGAAGGAAGGAAGGAAGGAAGGAAGGAAGGAAGGAAGGAGAATAATAGAATTGGAAGGGACCTTGGAGGTCTTCTAGTCCAACACCCCACTCAAGCAGGAGACCCTACCATTTCAGACAAATGACTGTCCAATCTCTTCTTGAAAACCTCCATAACTTCTGGTGGCAAGTTGTTCCACTGGTTAAATTTGGCTCCAAAACCACAGCTGTTTAAAAAGATGAACGCTCTGCAAATTTTTCTTGAATACTCAAGGCTAAACAAGGGCATATCTTTATCCTTTGCTCTCCCAATTTTCTGTTTTCTCTGATGCTCGCCAGAATTTTTAATTGTTTTCCTCTTTTTTTTCTCTCTCTTGGTTAGCAAAACCGATCCATCGGCACCGAGATTCCTGTCTTAAATTGAAGGTGAAGGTGGTTGGGAAGAAAAGTGAGTATTTTAGCGTTTAAATACTTAATTGCTTCTCCAATTCTTGTTGTCTCAAATCACCAGAATTACCTCCAAAAGAATATTTGTAGGACGAAGGGAGCAACGTCGCCACAGTTACGTCTTTGCATTGTTTCATGGTTCAGACTTACCGCCCACTGTCTCTTCAGCCACTTAGTGCGGGACCTTCAGGTGGTCTTTTTTTAATGGCGCCTCATTTAGCGACCACTCAGAGTTGCGACAGTGATGAAAAAGTAATTTGACCTCCCGTCCCGGCCTTCGCAGCTTCTGTGGGTCTGTGAAGTGAAGCAAAGCTGATTGCAAAATGAATATTTCACTTAGGGACTGCTTCGCTGAACAGTTGCCGGTCCCCATTATGGTCGCTAAATGGGGACGACTTGAAGGATGCTCCAGATTCCGCGTTACTAACTTAACCACCCCAGGAATTCAAGTAACACAACTGTGGCGGGAAAGGCCATCAAACGAGGCAAAACTCCCTGAACAAATGTTTCACTTAGTAACGTAAATTTTGGGCTTGATTGTGGTCGTAGGTTGAGGACTACCTGTAAAGCCCACCTGGAGAAAAAGAGAGAGAAGGATGTGAGGTTCAAGCTGGAATTGGAAGGGGGTCTCAGGATTCAGCGTATCCTGGTTTTGGGGGTGTCTGAACTTAACCGTGTTCTTTCTTCCGTTGTAGCTCAGATACCACCCGGTCACATCCCCACGCAGAAGGGACCGCTTCAATCAGGTAGGTCCAGAAATGGAATTCTGGGAAATTGTGGGGCTGGGGGTGTCCTCACCCCATGGCTAAATCATTAGAAATCCATGGGGTCCTTACAAGACACGGGTGACCCTCTTCCGCGCAGGATGAGACAAACATCCCCCTTATTTCTTTCCTTGCTCATCTCCGCAGACGATCCGGATGCCCCGATGTTGCGCAGTGTGGGGTACAATTCTGCTCCCCGATTTGGCAGCCCCCTGCCCTTCATCAGCCTCTTGCTGCTGGTCTTCATCTTTCGGGGGCCCTGAAGGGAATCTCGGACCCCGACTGAACCCCCCGGATTGAGCCAGGCAGGATGGACTCCGATGAGGGTCCACGCAGCGAGCGAGACAGCACCATGGGTCTTCACTATTATCAAGCTCGAAACCGTTGGTAGCACGAGGCGCGAGGAGGCATGACGCGCGACATAGGCGTGGGAAAGACGGCGTGCAAATCAGCTCACTTGTTCTCGAGAAAGATCTTGTTGGACTCCCGGTGAGGAGAAAGCGACGCGGTGAGCTGATGACGTGTCCTCCGCAGGTCGGAGACGTGTCCCCCGCGAGTCAGAGATGCTGAGGATCCTGCCAAAGTTTGATGGACTTTGTTGGACTTTTCAAGCAAACTTGATGGGGACTTTTTGAGCAAACTTCGTTAGACTTTTCGAGCAAACTTTATTGGACGTTTCGAGCAAACTTCGTTGGGACTTTTCGAGCAAACTTCGTTGGACTTTTCAAGCAAGGTATATAGACACAAGCTGCTTCCAAAACCACCCAGTCCCCTCTGGACCTACAAAATCATGTGAATAATTTAACAGACTTAAAAAACAGGCAGGACCTGAATTCGGGGAGGATCCCCACCCCAGTGTCTTTGATCTTCCCTTCATCGAATTTTTGTCCTCACAATTCGGACGGAAAGGCTGTGTCCAAAGGATATGGATTCAAGAACTTGGATCAGTACTATTTATTAGAACGAAAGGTGAAGGCGATGAGCCCAAGGATCGCAATTTCAAAAGAGTGGAATTCTCAAGAAAAAGGGGAAAATTTATTTTCTGTTATGCTTTTTATGGCGGGGTATTTTTTTTTATTTGTAAAAAAGAAAAAAGAAAAGAATAAATGATGCCAAATAAGCTGGCTGTGGTTCAACTGGGCGACCTCGTTTTGTGAAACGAAAGGGCGGAGTGGGTGGGGAGATCAGTGGGTGGGGCCTAAAGCAAGGGGCGGAGCCCGGCAGCAGAGGCAAAATGATAGCTTTTCTTGCTGGAACAATTCTGTAAATGGAATTTATAAAGTACAAAGGCTAAAAATCTTCCTTGCAAATTGTTTTGCTTTGATTTGATCCCAACTATTATATTTCCTGCCTTAAGGGGCACAGGTGAAGAATCTTTGAAGCCTGATGTTATTATGGTCTGTTAAAATGTCTGGAGTGATTTGTTTCAGGGATATTGGGGGAACCAGATGGCCCCAAAAAACTTGCCTGCCGTTTGCCAAGATTTTTCAAAGCTCCTTTGATGCATTTTTAACGATGCTTTAAATCACCTTTTCACCTGGTTTTCTCCCTGGCTGATAAAATACGGTTCTTATTTCACAAAAGAACATAAATAAAACGAGGGGAAGCACTATTGGAAAACAAATAAAATAAAATAAAAGCAGGAATCCACCGGTTTGCAGTCCTGAAGTCAAAATCCACACCCTTGCAGAATTTAGGGAGGCCTGCGCCAGTGCCATCAGGGCAAAACAGGTTTCTAGTCCTCAAGAATGCGACACTTTTAACGTTTTTCTGTCGTAAGCCGCTCAGAGTCACTGGCTTTGGAACGAGACCAGCGGCAAATAAATGTCATCATAATAAATAAATAAGCTCCGCCAAGCATTATTTTACGTTATTTGTTTAAAAAAAATATTGTTTTTTTTTTAATTGCAATATTGTGCCTCAATCCTGGAGGGCGAAAGGACCGCGACTGGCGTCATGCATGCTCCTTAGCCCGCTGCAGAATCTGGATTTGGCAGGTTGCAAAGCCGATGTAATCTGGTGTTTGCTGAAGCCCGTGCAAACAATCCGTGGTTTGCTTAAGGGCAAGCCATGTTGTTTGGGGCGGAGATATATATATGTATATAAGTGAACTCGGCTTTCCACACTAACTTTGCTTGTCGGAAGGTTGCACAGCTGTCATAACACAAACACACAAAAACGAAGTCTATTTAAAATATGGGTCATCTTCATTGTTTTACAATGGCTGTTAAAAACTGACTGACGGGCGTTTTTCACACTTAACGACTGTTGCAGCATCCCGGGATCAAAATTCAGACACTTGACAGCTGACTCATATTTATGACTGTCGTAGTGTCCCGGGCTCGCGTGATTTACCTTCGGATGCTTGACAACTGACTCACATTTACGACAGTCGCAGCATCCCCGGGTCAGGTGACCCCCCCTTTGGCGACCTCTTGGCAAGCAAAGTCAGTGGGAAAGGCTGGTTCACTTCACAACCTTGTGAAGTGAACGAGACCGTAAAATGGGGCAAAACTCAGCAATTGACTCGCTTAGCAACGGACGTTCGGGTTCAATTGTGGGCGTAAGTCAAGGACTTCCCCGTATATGAATTACACCTAGTTGCAAATGGCTGAATTTTGATCCCAGGACCGCAGGGATGCTATGACGGTCCTAAGTGTGACGAAGGCTCCCAAGTCCCTTTTTTACAGTGCCCTTGTAAAGCAGTCACGAAAAGAGGCGTCGTAAGCTGAGGACTGCCTATAGCAGCCGTGAGCCATTATTTCAACCTGGCCCGCCACAGAAAGCCAGAAAGAGAGACGCTGGTAAATCAGAGAGGCAGTTAAGAACCTTTAAGCCCTTGTTTTGAGAAGAGGCATCTGTCTGTGCCAGCTAAACTGATGGAGAGAAAGGGAAAATTTGTCGAAAGAGGAATGACATCACAGTCGGCCAAAATATTAAAATAAAATGCGCTGGATGTTTGAAGGACTCTCGCAACAATGGAGATTCTTTTCAATTTCTTCTTTGTGTGTGTGATGGCTTTCTTTCTTTTTTTTAAAACAAAAATCAGGATTTGTGTGTGTGTGTGTGTGTGTGTGTGATGGCTTTGTGGTTGAATTCAGGAGAATTTATTCGACGGTGGCAGGACAGCACAGCCGCGCTAACTGGCTTGTCCTGACTTGTCGGGCTGAGTGTGTGGTGCGTCCTTGCGTATTTCGCCTTTCCTTTCCTTTTTTTAAAACAAAAATCAGGATTATGCTGCCCCAGCAGGTTTGGGAACTGAGAGAGTGACCCAGCCAGACAAGTTGTGTTATTCAGTGGCGGGTTTTGTGGCCCAACTGGAGAAAAACAAAGGAGAGGAGAAGGACAAATGAGGATCACGGTTTATGTTCTCGTTTTTTCATTATTATTATTTTTTTTTTGGCTGAGATTTTTCTTGATGTTGCTTTCAGGATCTTGTGATTGTCCCTGTTTTTTTGTCTTTGGGTATTTCTCTGTCTGTCTGTCTCTCTCTATCACTTATCTGTCTGTCTATATCCATCTGTCTATCTGTCTACCTTACCTACCTACCTACCTATCTACGTATCTACCTACCCATCTATTTATCTATCTATCTATCTATCTATCTATCTATCTATCTATCTATCTATCTATCTA